GATCAGAAATAGGTCATAAGAAAAGCTGACAATGATACTGCAGCAAAAACTGAAAATAAATAAATACGTAAGATGCTTACTGGACTTCGGGCATGGAAGACTTAACACATTATCAAAAATGTCCAATTTGTGAATGTAGTTGATGTTTAGCTTGTGCAATTTCATGACATTTTCAACCAGTGCAGAATTACTGAGGTGGCGTTGTTTTGGCTTCATACATTAAGCTTTCCAGTTTGTGATTTTTCATCTAGGCTACTCTAGAACTGGTTTTTAAAACAAGCTTCTAACACAGAGGTTCTCAACCAAGGAGGGAACCCCCCCCCCGGGAGGAAATTTTAGGATTGTAAGGGGAATTGGAAGTTGAGACCACGGACTCAAACTGTTGGAATACTGAACTTTCTGCAAACTACAATTTTACAGATTGTACACAATCTGCAGGACATCACTCAATTGTGTCACGGATTAAATTAAAAAGACATACATTTCTTTTTATCTGGGAAAATATTCCATTTATGGCTATAATTGACTTATTCTTCAGTCACAGATTATGAACCTCATCATGAGTGTTGAAAAAGAGGTTACGGCTATTTATATATTCAACATGCATTCATATCCATCATCATTAATGAAGAAGAAAGGCCTCAACGTTTCATCCGTGGAAAATGACTGTCAAATGATTCTATGCAACCAACGAAATTGATGCAACATTTACAGAATGTTTAACCTCAAACAAAGACAAAAACATTTTAGGAAGTTATGGGCATGTCCTCAAAAAAATGCTGCTGAATTCAACAGGGACCAAAAAATGAACCACAAGGTTACTGATGCTTTCATATGGTAGTACTGGAGATCAAAATAAAGCAGAAAACCCACACACTTGAACAAGCTTTGATTAAACCTGAAGCTCTCAAAATGGTGAAAATTATGTTAGGAACTGGACTGAAAAAAACATGCAGCAGTTTCATTAGTAAAGGGTACTGTCCAAAGAAGAATCAACGACATGGTCATTAACATAAAGGATCAGGAGATCGGGTCTACACCATTTGAAATATTTTCAATTCAACTTGATAAATCGACCAATGTGCATCGTGTTCCTAACTGCTGGTGTTTGCAAGATATGTTCACTTTAGCTTCTCTTTTGTTCTTTTCTTGAAACAACTATCAAGTCCTAACGTTTTTTGGAAAGGCTCAATCTTTCTTTGAGTCAAAATCTTTTGTGAGACTTTTATCTTCGGTGGACACGAGAGTGAAATTTGCAAACAACATCGCACAACGGTTTGAACAGATCTCGGTGATGACAACTGATATGCGGAAACCGAGGGGCAGCTATTCAAGAGCCGCCTACCCGAGGCTGCCGGCGAATGCTGTGGATTTTAACGGGTTGGCCTGTCCCTTGGAGGTCAGAAAAGATCTTCATGGTGGACACGAGATTTTGAAACAACCTGCCGTTGTGAGATATGCAACAGTCATGAAAAGCTTGGGTTTTATTTGTATCACTGTGTAGGTTTTATCTGTATGAAATGTGTAGTAACATATACCTCAGTTTAAATAATCAATACAAATAAAACAAATAATTCACAATATCAAGTTTAACTTACAATGTGTTGTGAGCCGAGTAACAGTGATGCGGCTGATATTCGAATGGAAATACGTCATCCGATGAGGATGCTGACTTGTGCAACAAGACCGGGCTATGCGAGATCATGACGTACAAAGTGGCATTGATGACATCACTATTCAATACATGAGGGGCCAGTGAACGTGAGATTTCAAAGCCACTTTCCCATGTCTAAAATTGTAACGAACATGACGGCTGCATACACGACACTTTAAAAATCATCACACAACACTGAGTGCTGCCGCAATTGCCTAATTTTCAATTTCTGGACGCAAAATAATGAAAATCAAAGATCAGCGTTGAATCCAAAAAAACTTCGTCTGTGTTTTTCTTTAAATTTAATCAATATTCCAGTAGCATTACAGCGTTATCAACGGGCCGCTGTACCATCGTTGTTCGTCACTTAGGGCTATAAAAGCGACAACAGCAGATCTGCATAATTCTGTGACTGCTCCTCGTAAGAAGGCCTTCCCTAGTTTTGTACAGTACTCCAGCGCATTTGCGGTTCTCATGACAGTTCTGAAAAAGTGATTGATTCTGAACAAATTTCGATTTACTGATTGGACGGTTGCACAAGCAGGAGGTTAGACTTCGCAGAAAACCGATATCAACATCTCCTTGTTCGTAACTCAGTTATCTACAAATTTTCGGAATGTTTGTAGGAGGGCGCCATGACGAACTTTATGACCTTTCACGAAGCATGCTTCAGGATTGTTTATAAATGTCGCAAAGTCTGTTTTCAAAGTGGTCCTTCAGTGGGATCTTTCCATATTTTATAGAGTTTCTAGATATTCGCCGATGCCAGTCCAATGTGCAGGTTCCTTTTAGAATCAGTGCGGAAATCATTAGCGACAGCTGTTCTAAGGTATCTGAAATCTGCATATCTCCACAGCGCGCAGTTTCATTGTATTTTTCGGCAAACTGTTGCTCTCAGAACTTCTGTCTTTTTAGCATAGACTCGTAACTTCAACCCAACAGCAATGCTGCACATAGACTCGGCGAATGTCAACAGGATGGGATATGTCTTGGGCTACATGTGATCAACAGAGGTCACATTTCATCATCATTAACTTGCTGTATCCACTGTTCAGACGATCAAAGACGTAATGCAATCTCGCGAGTACCATATTAGCTTCCGATCTGATGGGACTCATGGTGTGCCTAATACTTAGTCACTTCCAAAGTATGATGTTCTCTTTTATTTGAGCAAAGTGTTATCTTGATCTTCATCCACATTTAACACCTCATTCTCCACCTTACACATATCTTCATTTCACCGTAAAAACAAGAAGGCCAGAATAAACCTTACCTTCCGCCAGAGATCGACGTGCTCCTTTTGCAGACTTTCATAACTGAACAGACTTGCTTCGTTGTAAAGCTAGAAGATCGAAAGCCTGTAAAAATGTTGGAAATTCAATAAATCCCACAAAATGACACACCATAATTGCCTTTTCCTCAAAAGAAGTGAGCTGTTTGTCAAATCCTGAACTGTCGTTAATAGCGAACGGCACGACCATCGACATAAACGTCCGTTGGTCAGTCCTAAAAGGTCAAAAACTGATCAAGTGATAGACAACGCAAGCGGGATATATCGTACTTTCCGGGCGATAGTTTCACGACTTCGTCAGAAGCTCCAACAACCGCACAGTACGATGACGGCTTGCTAAAGTCAGTAATCTGTTCGCAGAGGATTCGAAGGCTGCTGCCGAAGCTACACAGTAAATGTATAAGAAGAAAGATAGGATGGAGTACTAAGCCTGTAAAATTTTACTTCTTCATCTTTGGTTGTTCCATTCGCTGAAGTTTAAAGTTGATTTCTACCATCTAAAATAAAGGAACACTTGTTACGATAAGTAGTTAAACAAAGAAACAAAAAACAACAAATCAAAGACCAGAAATCAAAAGCTGACGTGTCGTAGGCCCCTTGATGATTTAGGCATGCTTTGCGAAAGCCCCAGAATGAAAAACGAAATAGATGCTACCTGCTTAACTGATGGACCGATGACCCAGGGAAAGGCTAAGGATGACCGGAGCAAATACCTCAACGAGCCCTACATCAGGTTATCTACTGCTGACGCTGAGATTATGGCAGAGGATCAGGAACGTTTCAAGCACGTCCGATGCTGCTGCTGCCTCCGCGACCTGGAAGCATATTCGAAAATGATTGATTAGCTAACTGATTATACAGCTCGTGATATTAAGAAATTTAAACTTATAGGAAAATTAACTTAATTTAACGTAAAGTTAACTTACTGTCCTCTAAACAATTCAAGATGCGGTGCCACATTATTAATTCGACTCCCCCTATGATTCATTACGACCACTACTATACTTGAGAAGTTGTACCGAGTTTCATCTGTTCTGTCAAGAGTCGCGATTTTATAACTTCATTCCTCTGTCTATGACCAGTAATTAATGCGCCTTTACTGCTGGTTTTTTCATATAAAAACTGAATAAAAAGGGAATACCGTTGGATTCCTGAGCATGACGTGCTGCACAAAGATGTTGGGTCGCAGGCGATGAGCGTAGAATTCGCTTTCGACCAGTACACAACGCTCTTGCTACAAAACAGACCAACTATTATTAATAACAGTAGCAGGAAATGAGCGACAGATCGCAGATTT